ACATCGGATTGAAGCGTGCAGTCCACAAGACTAGCCTTTGGTCTATGAGATCGAGCATCTTTTGTGGCGTGCTTTGATCCGCAGGCGTCGATGTCCCCGCGCGAGGGGAAGCCTAGTCGAGATATGGCGAGATATGGGGAGGTGTGGGGAGATGCGGGGAGGTGTGGGGCGGGGTTGTGGGGTGGGGTGGGGATGTCGGGTTGGGGAGTGGGTGGGCGCCGGAGTGGGAGTGGTGTGACTGCTCCTGTGGTGCGGGCGACGGCTTCTGAGGAAGCCGTCGCCCGCGCCTCACCTGTCGCGTGAATCGTGTCGTGCGACCGCCTTTTGTTGTAAAAGGTGTGCCGGTGATAGTACTAGCACGCGCCAGTTCGCACCTGTGTCGAGCCTGTGTGCTGTGAGAGAGAGTTGTCTTGTTTAAATTCTTGTGTTTAAACTCTGTGACACATCAGGGAAGCTTCTCGGCGGCGAGGTGCTTCTGTGGCTTCTGTGGCTTCTGTGCCACCTCGAGAAACCTCTGTGACTTCATGATGCACAGGCTTGCGGCCGCCTTTCTAGCCGCCGCGCCAGCTGCTCACGCCATGTCGATGTGCTGCGTCGGCGATTGGAGTACCGCCCCAGGCCCGTACGCGAACTTCGACACCTCGACGAACACAGAGGAGCAGAACAGAGACGAGGATATCGGGTGCGCCACCTGCTGCCAGCCCTACGGTGACAGTACGCTTTACGGTCGGGAGGGAACGGATCTCATCTTTGAAGTCAAGGACTCCGGCACCTTCACTGCTGGTTACGGCACGGGTGGCGGTGCTGTGGCTGGCGGGGCCACACTCGAGGTGCAGTTCAGCCAACGCCAGGTTCGGCTCAGCCGGCCGCTTTCGAGTGACGATGGCGAACCACTCGAGATTGCCGCGGTTTACAAGGAGTCCAAATTCGATCCATCTGCCTGGGCAGACACGTGCCGTCCAGGCCACGATCCGGGCTTCCGCTTCGGAGCGTTCCAGTCAGGTACCTATTTCGATGGCATATGTGGCCTCAACGCGACTGCTTGGCAGGAACTCTTTTGCAACGACGGCGCCTATATCGACCACTCAGACGGTGAGTCTTGCGCCACGGTCCTGCAAGTTCTGCGCGACTCGTCGCAAGCTTGCGACATGCTGCCCTCTGAGATTGAGGCGAGGTGCCGCGGCGATCGAGATGTCTGCACATTTGGGGGCCCTCCAGTGCTCACAGATGGCGTGCTGATCTCTGGCAGATCTGACATCGAATTTGAGCAGGACATGACATGGAAGGATTTCACCACGGGTGCGGTGCTGGGGCAAGCGTGGGGGATGCAAAAGGTTTTCATCGGGGAGCAGACTGTGCTGGGCTATCGCGACACCAGGTGCTTCCACACCTCTAGCGCGAACCTCACGGGCTGCACGGACGCTATGGTCTCGCCCAACGGCTTGAAATTCCAGCTCGAGCTCAACCAGCAGGACGCGCGGCAGAATCTGCGCTACCCGGCCGGCTCCACAGACTTCTGGGACGCCTGTGAGGTGGACGGCGGCACGAACGACACCTGCGCGACGTGCTTCGCGGTCGCCGTCGCCGTGGACAAGGGAAGCCTCGCGGTCGAGAGTTATTTGGCCAGTACCAGTGGCACAGTGGCTGCCCAGTGGCTCAGTGGGCTGCCAGATTCGACCACCCCTTTCTTGGGTTGGCTCCTCGGGGACGCTGCCACAGGGGATGAGTACACCTTTATGTTCCCGTTTGAGAACCTGTACAACCGAAATTCGAATGGCAACGGCGTCAATGCGCCCTCGGACTTTGCGAAGGGCGCGGTGGTGGCAAACGCGAGCGAAGAGTCGGGGGTCGTCTACGTGTGCGCGCCGAGGTCGGATTTTGACATTACGTCAACCGACCGAGACAAGGCCTTCTTGTATGACCCGCAGGTCATTACCAAGAAGACAAGCAGCGTCTCACCGTCGCCGCCTTTGTTGCCTCCTCCCTCGCCGCCGCCGCCGTCCGCCTCGCCCTCGCCACCGCCGCCGTCCGCCTCGCCCTCCCCATCGCCCTCCCCACCCATCGGAACCGGAACCGGAGACCCGTGCTTCCCAAGCTCGGCGACAGTGCAGACCGCCGATGGCGAGGTCGTCCCCGTCTCCTCCCTCTCCGCCGGCGACTCGATCCTCGCCGCGGCCGCCGACGGCACCCTTCGTTATTGAGACAGCTTTACTGCAGCTTTACAGTCGCTTCTTACGACTTCCCACGACCTCGTCTAGGCACACTCGTCCACGACACGGTGTCCTCCTTCTCGCTGGCCGACCCGTCCGCCAAGGCAGTCTTCCTCTCGCTCGCCACCGCAACGGCGACGGTCACGCTCACCCCGACGCACAAGCTGCCCGCCGGCCCGGCAAAGGCGCTGAAAAAGGCGTCCAAGGTTGCCGTCGGCGAGACGATCTGGCTCGCGTCGCCGGCTGCGGGCGCGCTCGTGCAGGCGAAGCGACCCTGCACGCACCGCAATCCTGGGCCTCTTCGCACCTAGCCCCAACACCCGCCCCCCCTCCAGGCGCCCGTCCTCGAGATTACCGAGGTGGTGGCCGAAGGGCTGCACAGCCCGCTCACCAAGCACGGAGGCTGGCCGGTCGTCGACGGCGTCGCAACCTCGTACAACAGCGCGGCCGTCGTCGCGCGCAACAAGTACCTCGTCCCGCTCGTCGAGGTGGTCTGCCCCTCCCTCGCCCGCCTCGTCGTGGCGGCCGCGAACCCCAAGGCGATGCATTACATCGACGGCGAGGTATGCCCTCTCCGCACCTCGCCCGAGCTGCCTCTCTCGACACTCTCGACCTCCCCCTCTGGCCAACTTTCGATTCGTCTCTCGACACAGGTGGTCGAGCCACTCTCTTCGCTCGTGGCCGCCGTGGCCGTCGCAGTGGGCGCCGTCTTTGCCGCGCGCAAGGCGATGGCGCGCAAGTAAGAGAGAGACACGAGTTCGTGTCCCTGGCAGGGAGGGACTCGTTTGCATGGCCGACCGACACGAGTTGCGAGGTATCGCGCTTGGACAGAGTCCCGGATCTTCTCGTGCCGTCTGGCATGCGGGGCGCCGTACGTGTCGTCGGCACGCCCAAAGGCGGCAGAGTACTGCATGTGGTACAGTTAGCATGAATGAAGCGCACGGCAATCGATCTCAGGCTCCTAGAGCCGTACGGGTTTCATCCGACCAGCGAGCTGGTGCGTGACGTAGTATAGCCGTTTAAGTACAGTCATGCTCGGACTGTGTGGACAAAGTATGTATGTAACTAGTGAGAGGACTCGAGATTGGTTCGAGATTGGGGCAGAGCGAGTGGGAGACTTTTCGGCGTACTCTACGTGCCCTTCCCGGAGTCTCGTGAGATACGTGAAAATCGGGCTGGGTACGGGGGCTGTGGAGCGCAGACACATAGCTCATACTGCGTAGACATACGGCGTGGTGGCTGGTGCGTGGATTGCCGTCGAAGTCTGTGTACTTTAGTCTTTACGGCTTTAAGGTAAAAGCTGGAGGGTAATGACCTCGTCCGCACCGGCCCGCGGCCGTACGGCTTTAGTTAGGTCTTAGGAGCGCGATAGCCGCCGGCACAAGGATAGAGGTGACCTGCTCCTCTTCACCCACGGGCAGCCAGCGCTCCCCTGTGCATTTTATTTGTTTATAGGCCTGCTTTTAATTTTTCAAATTAATTAAATTTGGGAGGGCGAGCGCCGGGAGCGTTGCGAATCGGCGAGACAGGCCTTGAGTCGACGCTGACGGACCAGGAGGCAGCGACTGTAAATGGGTAAAAGAATGCTACGAATACAAGCCCCTTTCGAAAGAAAGGGAGAAAGCAAGGGCGACGCCAATTAGCTTAAGGTCTACATCCCCTCCGGCTGCGACAAGATGCACGTGTGATCTGGTCCTCACGGGGTTGACCCGTCTCCTCCAGATCGAGACGGACTCCATGGACGGCCGAGCGAGCAATATTTGTTCATTGATATTATAGTTGATGCTTTTTGCACGGCTGAGCCCCCCCCCCCCTCCCCCGCGCCCATTCCCTGCCTGCCCTCTCCCGCTACGCGCCGTCCGAGCCCTCTCCATTCTTGCACAGGAGGAAATTGGAATTAATCAGACGATGGGCTTGCCCATCCCGGAGTGGTTCGACCCCACATAAATCCGAGACGGTGACAGGATGCTGGCTCAGTGATCTCAGGCCCAGTGAGGTAGTGCACGAGACTAGGGTGGGGGTGGATGCCGATTGAGGGAGAGCGTCTCCAGCTGCGCCCTGTGGCAGCTGCGCCCTGTGGCAGCTAGTCGAGGGACTTGGTAGAGTTGTGACCCCCCTGAGTGAGGACAGGAGAGAGAGAGAGAGCGTTTTGTGGTGTTGGTGTACGCAATAACGGGACAGGGTGGTTGTTCTCTCTATCTCCTCTTCTAGCTCTTAGCATGAGCTGCGCCCTTTGTCCGACCCCTTTTGCGCAGCAACACCTTAAACTTTCAGGCCCTCCAAATTCGGGTCGGAGCGTAGCGGAGTGGGCCCCGAGTTTGAAAAGGGCGACGGACGCTTGCGTCCTAGCCTCCAACAACGCCTCCCCGGCGCAGAGGGGCCCCCGGAGGGATGCACAACCGCTCCACGCCACGCCGCTTGCGGCGGTCCTAAAGAAAGAAAGAAAACGGGCAAGCCAAGGGAGGGATGGGAGGACGGCACGCCGCCACCACACAGGGATTTTAAGGAGAGGGGTGTGATGCGCTAGCCGCGGTCCTAATAAATAAATAAATAAATAAAATGCCGCAGCCGCACTCGATGAGCATGGCTGCTGCGTGATTCGCAACGCCCTCCCGGCGCAGCTGTCGGAGCCCGAGACCGATGAGCTCCCCGCACTGATGCTGTCCAGGCTCGCGCGTGCCGCCGACGCAATCGACCCGAAGACCGCGGCACTTGCTGCGGCCACTGCCGCGGCGGCGCTGCTGCCGGCGGTCCACGTGGGAGACGGGCACCTCTCGCGCAACCGCGCTGCGGTGGGGGCAGTCTTTGCTGAGCGAATGACGCTCTCGCGGCTGCAGGCGCAGCCGCCCAGCGCACTCGGCTGCACGCAGGCGGCGGCGGCGCTGCAGCCGCTCATGGTGAGAGAGGGCGACCAGGCGGACGCGGCGCTGGTCCTCGACCTCTTCCGCTCGGACGAGGACGAGGGCGAGGAGGAGGCGCGAGACGGCGAGTCGGTCCGCGACGACGCCGACGATGGCAGCGCTCTCGACCCGGGCGGCGAGGGATATCTCCCCATATCTCCCCATATCTCCCCATATCTCCCCATATCTCCCCATATCTCCCCATAGCTCTCGACCCGGGCGGCGAGGGGTACGACGCGGCGGCTGCGTACGACGTGGGCGCAGACCCGTGGGTACTGAGCAGGCGAGCAGTCTAGGAAAGGTCTAGGAAAGGTCTAGGAAAGGTCTGGGTACTGAGCAGGCGAGCGTTGGCGAGAGAGACAAGACTGCAGGAGACGAGGGAAGCGGCTCCACCACCCGAAAGACAGAGAACACAGCCCCCCCCCCCCCCCCCCCCTTAGGAGTTTGGGGTCTGCCTCGCAGGCGGGGGGAGACCTTTCCCAAACCTTTCCCAGACCCTTCCTAGACCTTTCCCAGACCCTTCCTAGACCTTTCCCAGACCCTTCCTAGACCTTTCCCAGACCCTTCCTAGACCTTTCCCAGACCCTTCCTAGACCTTTCCCAGACCCTTCCTAGACCCTTCCCAGACCTTTCCCAGACCCTTCCCAGACCTTTCCCAGACCTTTCCCAGACCCTTCCTAGACCTTTCCTAGACCCTTCCTAGACCTTTCCCAGACCCTTCCTAGACCTTTCCCAGACCCTTCCTAGACCTTTCCCAGACCTTTCCCAGACCCTTCCCAGACCCTTCCCAGACCCTTCCTAGACCTTTCCCAGACCTTTCCCAGACCTTTCCCAGACCTTTCCTAGACCTTTCCTAGACCCTTCCTAGACCCTTCCTAGACCTTTCCTAGACCCTTCCTAGACCTTTCCAAGACCTGCCTCTGCCTCGCAGGCAGGCGACCGCGGCGCTCCCCGGCTACAACGCATCCGGGCCTCGCGCTGCCCTCTCGCACAGCTGGGCCGCTCTGCTGCACGCGCCGTCGGCGGCGTGGGTGCGTGCGCTAGTAGCAGTAGTTGTAGCAGCAGCAGCAGCAGCAGCAGCAGCAGCAGCAGCAGCAGCAGCAGCAGCAGCAGTGCACTGCAGTTGCTGCAGCAGCTGCAGCAGCAGAGTAGCAGCTGCAGCAGCGGCAGCGGCAGCAGCAGTAGTAGTAGTAGGAGTAGCAGTAGCAGTAGTAGCAGTAGTAGCAGCAGCAGCAGTAGTAGGCAGCGACTCTTCAAGAAGAAGCCTCACCGACGCCGGGCTACAGCGCGGGAGGAAGGTCTAGGAAAGGTCCAGGAAAGGTCCAGGAAAGGTCTAGGAAAGGTCCGGCCTACTGCGCGGGAGGAAGGTAGGGGCCCATAAGGACCGGGGTGCTAGCAGGTGTGCGCGCTCGACGCGACGTGCGAGCGGCGCGGCGCGCAGCTGGCAGAGAGGCGCGTCCAGGACACGTCCACGACCTGTCCGAGACATGTCGCACAGGCGCGGCGCGCAGCTGGCAGAGAGGCGCGTGCGCCTCCTCTCGTTCGCCCCCACGCCGGCGGCGGAGGAGCTGCACCCGTCTTTGCGGATCCCCTCGCCGCGCCTCCCTCCCATCGCGGCGACGGCGGCGGCGGCGGTCACGGCGGCGGCCGCTGCGGCGGAGAAGGCGGAGAGGTAGTGGGGCGAGCACACCGTCGGAACCAGCCCGGACCTTTCCTAGACCTCTCCTAGACCTCTCCTAGACCTCTCCTAGACCTCTCCTAGACCTCTCCTAGACCTTTCCTAGACCTCTCCTAGACCTCTCCTAGCACACAGCCGGAACCAGCGACTGGGGCACCGGCGGGGAACGGGCGGGCGCTAGACGGGGGGTGACGGCCACACAGGCAGGAGCGACACACAGGCCACACGCGGGTCACAGGGACACTCCGCCACCGCCAACTAGGCGGCGGCCGCCGCGGCGGCGGCAACGGGGGCGGCGCTGGCGGCGGCGGACGTTTTCGTGGCGGCGGCGGCGAGCGGCCCAAAGCCCGCGGACAAGGAGCAGCTGATGCGCCGCTTTTCAGCTGAAACAAAGGGCTTCGCGCGGGCGTGGGAGGAGTGGAGGGCCCCCGCGGCCCCCCCCTCCACACCAACACCAAAATCCCCCCCCCCCCCCCCACCCCCTTTCTTCTCCGTCTCCCTTTAAATCGTCTTCCTCCTTCTCTTCCTTTCGGCCAAGCTGCGCCCCGCCGACCCCGCAATCTCGCCGCATCTCGCCGAATCTCGGATAGGCGCGCGCGGCCAAGCTGCGCGCCGACGCGGACTCGACGGCCGGGAGCTGGAGGGGCGGGTGAGATGCAGCCGCGATGCAGCCGCGATGCGGCCGAGATGCAGGTTCGATTCGTACTCTGACGGCCCCTGTGCGTTCGCCCGTCCTCTCCCCGCCAGGCGCCGCCGCATTGCCGAGGGGGCGAGGTCATCTTCCGTGGTGGTCCTCCTCCCCCTCACGAGCGGCAGCGCCGTGATCGAGGTCGAAGCTTGTTCTCTGCCCTGCCCCCCGCCCCCCAACCCCGTTCTCCCTTTATCTCCTCTGTTTCTGTCTCTGTCTCTGTCTCTGTCTCTGTCTGTCTGTCTGTCTGTCTGTCTGTCTGTCTCTCTGTCTCTCTCTCTCTCTCTCTCTCTCTCTCTCTCTCTCTCTCTCTCTCTCTCTCTCTCTCTCCGAGTCGTCTACATCCCCCCCCCCCCCTCTGTCTCTCTGTGTCTCTCCTTCTCGCCTGTGCCACGCGCTCTAGTAGATAGCGCACTACCAGTGCCAGGGAGCCCCCCCCCCCCCTCCCTAGGATGGGCATGTCGGGGTTCTCTCGTCTGCCCGATCAGAGCCCCCCTTTCTCCCCGAGCTCTCCCCCGCCTTGAGGCTCCCCTCTCGGCTCCCCTCTCGCGCCGGCTGCTCTTGTCAGATCTTGATGACACAACCGCTTGCTACCGACCGTTCGAGAGCCAGGAGACGGCTCGGTCGCTTTCGCCCCCCCCGAGCCCCCTGTCCCCGACCCCTTGCCCGTGCACCGACTGGACAAACCGTGTCGTCTCGTGCAAGCCCACGATCCAGGCGACTGATGGCGGTCGCTCCTCCCTTTGGCTCAAGGCTGCCCGGACCGGGACTCCTAGAGCTTTCTTCGATCGTGACCAGACCTTTCATAGATGTTTCAGCGCGTGCCTGCGCGCATCCGCACTCCTAGGGCTTTG